ATATCCGATTAAAAGATACGATGGGGGCTTTTGACTAGCACTGTCTTATTTTGAATAGACGTAAATAAAAATTATATAAAATAGTAGTTAAAATTTGAAGCGAATGGATTACACCAGTTACCAGTGTATCATATACTGTTAAAAAATAAAATCTCTGTACTGGTTTAAAATAAAAAAAATATTAGGCTTTAAATCAGGCCTCTAACGTAGAAGTTTACTAAGAATAAAAGGAGAAAACTGTAGATAGGCGATAAGGGAAGCCACGATTCTGTAAAGTTGCTAAAATTATTCAAAATTTGAAGCATTTCTAGTACACCTCCACATTTCTGCTTTAATTCGTTAAATTTTTCAAGATGTTTTGATGGGGGAACTTCTAGAATACGTAATAAATTTATGTTGTATATTAATAGTAAAGATTTTTACGTGAAAACTCAAATGTATGATTTTTTTCATCAATATTGCTACGTACGTATATAAGTTCTTCCTGATGATTTATTTTATTATTTTATTCTGAATTAGAAGCAACTAAAACGAAATGTTGGTGTTTCTATGTGAAATCCAAATATGTTAGTGGTAGGTACGTGACTAATTCAATTTTATAAACAAGATTCATAATGATATACTTCTTATAATTTCCTTATCAAATAGCAATTGTAACTTTGGAAACTACTACACGAAAGATTTCTGTGGATGAGCAGTCAAACCATCTCCTCAGATCTCTCAGCTACGAGTTCTGGCGGCTCAACTGATCTTTTACTCTGCAGTTTACCTTCCAATATGATTTGGAGTAATTCATATCTTTCACCTCTCAACACATGACTCAAGTATTGTAATTTTCTCTCTTTGATTATGCTGAGCAATTCCTTCTGTTTACTCAAACGTCGAAGTACCTCACCATTGGCAACTTTTTGTATGCATGAAATTTTCAGCATCCATCTGTATAGATACAATTCAAAGGCATCTACTTTTTTTCTGTTTCAAAGTTCATTGTCACAGCAAAACAGAGAAAACGTAACATATGATCATTCGAATTCTGAGCTCTACACTATGGCCTGATGTTGTAAAAAATGTTTTCATGTTCATGAGTATTTTCCTCGCAATTTTTTTGGAATTTTATTCAGGTAAAAGGATAATGTTTACTTAATATCAATTTATCAGTAAATGGGCTTCTGCGAGAAGAAAATTTTTTTGAAAAGAACTTCATTTTTCCTTTGTTGTGCATTTAGAACAGAAGTCAGTGTAATAACTATAAATATGAGTGATATAGAAATGATAAGTGACGATGTCCTGTACATTCCTGCCACTATTTCAGGAAGTGAAGACGAGTCTGAACCTGAAAAACGCTCTGGTTATACATCTCACCCACGATGCAAAGCAAATCGTGCTTAACGTTTGAAACGGTAAGTACTTGTCAAAAATACTCTTTAGTTAACCTTCCTAATACCAGGTGAATTTTAAAACGACCAGTACCAGCTGGAGCGACTTCTAGCACCAGTAGTTTGGTTCATTTTTAAGCCAAAGGATTCTATGTATCTCGTAAATCTTGTATCTCATTTTTTTAACTCTTTATTGTCTGTATACTTTGTTTAGTACCAATTCAACAAACTAAAAATCAAAGACAGAAGACACTCACATTCAGAAACTCGCCAAATAAACAAGTAATTTTCCAGTTACCTTCAAAGAATTCTTCAAAGAAAAGTCTGAAAAAAACGAAAATCTAATATATGATGAGAAATTATACTGGATCAAACACTGACACCAGAGAAACACCCTCCCCCTTTAGTAGCTGAAATGCAAGAAGCTGTTACCAGACTGAAAATCAACAAGTCACCTGGATTAGACAATATTAGCGCAGAATTAAACATTAAAGGAAAGTGGAGACTCCCTTTTGAATCTGTTTAAACACTTAAGATTACCAACTGAAAAAACAAAGCAAGGAACAGAAGAGAATGGCGGAAAATCCTAGAACAAGCCAGGACCCAGAACTGGTTGTCGAGCTATTGATGATAATGAATATTTCATATCAGATGTCAGACGTACTTAGGTCTAATTGCACTTTACAAATTCTTAGAGAGACAATCGTAACTAGAAAGTGATGCTTCGAAGAATCTAGACAAAAATATGCTAATAGGGGAATTATAAAAGTACTCACTGTGTAATAGCAAGAATGAAATTTCAAAGATAAAGGAAACACATTAGAATCAACTGCTAATATGTAAAGTAGGCGACTTCACATCATGGCAAGTAATTAGTACAGTCATTAGTAACCATTTTCCAAAACTTTCGTCTAAACTGATAAAATCAGATTTGTGAAAATTCGATTCTTGATAGGATTTCTTTTTTTGCTTACATTGTCTGTTGATATTTGCTACCAAATATTTTGTAAAAGTTACCTGTTATATTTTTTTCCCTTCACATAAAAATGTACGTTTGTTGATATCTTTGAAAATACTTGAATTTTGAAATAATGATATACTAGTCCAATAAAATCGGTAGTAACCTTGGCAAAGATTAAACCAATTCATCGACAGAAGTGCTTATGATTATGGGAGATTTGAATTCCAAGCTTGAAATTATTTTGAAGCTATTTTTTTTGTAGCATCTTGTCGATTTTCACTTCGAACATCATTCTCCAAATACAAAATCTGCTTGAATATGCTGGATATAACTTGAAGCCCTTTAGAAATAAGGTATTATCTCTACATCTTCGTAAAAGTTTGATAGGATTTTAAAAATGTGCCAGTTTTTCGTATAGAATTTCCAATCTCCTAAAATTTTGAATGACGCTAGACCTATACCTATTTTGTCATTTCTGTTTTTTTTTATTTTGAGAACGTTTTGGACGTGAAAATCGAAAGGTCAAATCAACTTAATTATAAAGTAAAATCGTTTCTTATTCCCAAATTCCTCACATATAAAGTCTTCACATAAAACACCTTGTATAGTAATCATTACGTTGTTTTCAATTTGTTTGCAAGCATTCAAAAACTACATTTTTAAAATTGATCAAGAGCTATACGATCAATAAACAAAATCTTATAACAATATTTTCTGCCATAATTTTTGTTTGACTACAAACCCAAAATTACTTTATATTACTAGCTTATTCCAACTATTTTTTACTAAGAAGAATCAAATAGATTCACTGATGTTTTACATCTCAACTACTACTCGGTTTCTAATTCGGTAAAAAGTTGCAAAAATTAAAAAAATACGATATTTTTTCTACAATATTTAACTGTGAAAATTTAAACTTTTGTTATTAGCGAAAATTTGTGTTCTTGAAAATATTTTTAACAGTGTTAAAAAGACAACGTGAAGAGCTTTTAGTATAAAAAGAGTTGGAGGTTAGAATGAGTACTGACTGTTATAATAAATGTTTTTTAAGCTCCATGAAATTCTAAATTACTTTAAAAAATACCAAATATCGATTAAAATAAAAACATTAATCAATTAAGTATTTCATTTGTCATATAACAAGCATAATGTGAGTTATTATGAAAAGCTTAATGTTTATGTTACAACTTATAGGAAGTTTTTTTTCATTAAAAAAAATCAATACTTCATCGGAAATATAATCGTACAGCATACTTTTTGGTTAATATTATGTTTTAAAGGATCTTTACGATGACAACTGAGTTAAAAAATATAACGAAAATAGTATTGTTGCAATAGCACTAGATTTTAATGAAAATAAAAGCTTTATTACTATTTTAATGTTAAAACTAACTAATCCAGGCAGGCTGGATCTATTTTGAATTGGACAGGATCCATAGGAGTCTATTTTGTTAATTGAATTACTTCAGGATGTACTTTCGCAACTGTTACCTGACGTGTGACATAAAACGTGACATAATACGTGACATCTGACAGAAAGTGATAGATAGAATCACTTTCTTCAGCACAGTAACTGACTTTTCTTCCAAAGGAAGAATCTTAGTCTTTGATAAATTCATTTTCATGTTAGAGATAAAAGAATATATGCATTCGGAATATGAATACACAGACTAAGAACGAGGATCTCAGATGAATAAACCTCGACCGAATGATTAAGGACATAGCCAAAACACATAAAAAATACTAATCAAATGAGAAATTTTAACACTGAAATCAGAAATTTGATATTCAAGAAAAGAAAACCTCATTATTTTTTTTTAATCTTTTCTTCAGCTATTCCTTTTTTAATTTTTTTGTTGCTTGGATAAATTTTTCCTTCTATTCTCTGTGCCCTGTTTTCTTAGTTTCTTGAGCTTAATGTATCTTTCGAGTTCAGGCCTGTGCCTCCTTCTAATTTAAGTTTACAAGTGGAATACTCTTTCCAAACTTTTACCCTTTTGTGTGTGTATTTCATGATGTATCTTGTTATTTCCTTCTTTTATTTCATATATTTCCTTTCCCCTTTGCACTCTTAATATTTTTATCTTATTCCAATGGATCTACTGTCATTTAAGCTGTACCCAAATTCTTCCCAATATTTGTATTTCGCATCTCTTACTGCCTTTTTAACAATTTTGTTTTTAATGGTATATATTTGTTGGATCCTTTGATTGGGCGTTCTGTTCCATACTTTTTTTATCAGTGATAGCCGCTTGACTATTTGACACAATTCATCAAAGATCTTAAAGATAAAATAGAACTAATATAAAACCTAATATAACAAGAAGAAGTACTTACATAGAAGTATTTTGTTACCGTGAAATGTTAATAAAGCATTTATTCTCGTAATTAATCCCGTAAATATTTTCAATTGAAATGTTTAATTAATCCTTTATATGGAGTTAAACTGTTATTTTTCATAGACACATTCTCAATCTTAAACACGTCAAGTTCACAAGTTAATTCGTATTAGAAGAATATATTATCTTCCACTTTTTATTTAAAGATAATTGTAAATAATAAAAATATAAAACATTTAATATAAATATCAGCATCACTCATTAATGTTACTTACGAATAGTGTAAATCTAACATCTCAAAACTAGTGAATGATAGAAAATAGTTCAGTCAAATACAGCAGTCCAGCATGTGAGGAAATTGATGATGAACTTGTCGCAACTAGACTTAGTAGAGCAATTGCTATCCTTACTGCTCGCCGATTGGAACTTCCAGGGTTTTTCGTGACCGACTTTCCTGGGTTGTCCTCCTTTGTGCGGCAGTTCGTCCAAGGGTTTGTTTTTACCTTTTTTCCTTATGTATTCCAGTATCCTTTCGGTTTCTGATTCTTCCAGCATCCCGCTGCGGTCGGGGCCTTTGACCCCGTCTATTGTCCGGCAAAGAAATTCTTTTTTCGTCATAAGTCCGTATCTGGGAAAAAAATAAATTAGTCTTAGACAATACGAGATCTTTACTTTAAATAAATATGAAGATGTTTTGGCAGTTATAGCAAGTGACGACCATCTTGTGGTCTCAAAACTCAAACTCAAGCAAGTAGAAAGACAAGGACAACTTAACACTACAGAAAAATATTGAGAGTTAGAGAAGATCCTGAGAAAAATCATATAACAACAAGTAGAGGGTGATACATCTCCTACAAGAAGAGAAGTACGACAATGATGTGTAGTACCTCCTGTACTTTTATCAGTAGAAGACATCAATGAATTCGTATCAATTAATGGAACACTAGTGAATAATATTAAAGATGGAGACGATACTCCTTACGGAAAGAAGAAAAGGGCTGCAAATTTTGGTTGATCGTACTATGCAGTACTGCGAAAGGTATGGAATGGATCTGAACACAAAAGTAAAAATCCTTATTGAAAGAAACAACAATTGAGGAGACGAAGTACTCTACGTTAAAGGAAAAGTTTTAGAGAAAGTAGCCAGCTACAAATATTTTGAATGTGAGTTAAATGAACAATAAGACTGCAGCCTACAAATAAAACCACTCATTGAGATGGCCAGAAGCGATTGTAATAAAATTAAATCCTTATTAAAGGTCTTTAAAGGGTGAGTAACATGAAGAAGAAGAAAGGTGCTTTATTTTCTTTTAACATGGACATTAACCACTCAGCGTCTCAACAATTTTATTAAAGAGAAGATAAAAAGAGCAATATTGCAACATAAATTTCAAAATTAAGAAACTTATTAGCACAACAGCTATAGCATGTACAGTTGGTACAGTATAAAACCCGATGCACGTCATTAGAGTACTACTCGTACAGAGTAGATCCGGATCTACTCTGTACGAGTACTAGAAACCAATTTGCTAAGGATTTCTGCTTAGTTGAAAAGACGTGTCGTGGAATGCAAATTTTAGATTCCCCACGTCTCTTTTAACACCTTTATCAATGTCTGTTTTGCTTTGCAATTTTTAGAAAGCACAGATTAAAGCGGAAATCTGAATTGTGTTTCGAAACTATTTTATGGTTTTATTGTCAGATGTCGCTATTGCGTCCGTATCAAAGCCATTTTAGTGTTGCTTCTTAAAAGACAGAAAATATTAATCTTTGACGTTGAGAACACTTTTGAATAACTGTTCTGATGAGACCTATTAGGTCGAAATACGTATCAACAGATACAAAGGCGCTGTTTGCGTGAAATCAAATATTTGCTGTCTTTTCACTTTATTTGAATAAAACTTTTAAAATATTTGTTAGTAATATAGTTATTCATATTTTGTTTATTTGACGTTACAAATTTGTACTTCTGTCAGGTCAGATAAATATTTAAAACCGTTGATGTTTTCATGGCAACTTTAAAACACGCGCGTTTTTGAAATTTGAATTTAAACACGCTAGGGCGTACTTTAAATAAGCAAAATGAGGTACCAATAAAAAAATATTTAAAAACTAGACTTTTTTATCAAATCTTATAAGGATGCGATTGTTGTTAAGATTGTAATTCTAAATTATATATAAATCTTACCGTGGAGCATATATGAGTTGCCTGAGCACAGCCTTCAAATTGATTGGATGGGTTTCCAGAGTTCTTCTTTTACATTCCTCGATGCACCACTTCATGATTGTGCTGTATACCAGAATTTCACTGGAAACCTGCAAAGAGTCCCTGGTAGTTATAGTTAAAATATCACAGTAGGTAAGATTTAGAATTTCTTTTTGCTTCATGACCAAGTCTGCGTTCTTATCGATTTCCAGAAGACAGTTGTTCCTTAAGTTATCGACGAGATCTTGCACCCAGTCTCCGCTACCTTCGTATTCTTCTTCTACGATAGGTGGCGCTGAAGGTTCTAAATCAAAGGGATCGACAGTTATGTTTTTATATTCCGAGATACATTTAGACATATGGCGTAGAATGAGCAAGACGTTTGTGTTGTTGAGATGATTGTTGAGGATTTCTATGCACTGCTTTGCTAATGGCACGTTCTGTACTTTGACTGCAGTCGAAAAGAGATTTAGGGCTATGATGGGTTTGTCTATCGACAGTGGGCCAGCTTTCATTGACCTAAAAAATATTCTTTTATTAATGAATTACTTATAACAACTACAAAGAAAAATTAAAGTAGCCGTCTATAAAACATAAAAAGAATCTGATCATTGGAATCGGAGCTCGAAATCCGATAGGGGAGGAACATACAAGGACTCCCAGGTCGTTAACCGGCGAACCTTTGTCAAACATCGAAAAAAGACAAAGTAAAATTATCAAAAGCAAAAATAGGTACGTGGAACGTCAAAAGCATGTATCAACCTGGTAAAAGGCATAATATCCTTCAAGAAATTAGAAGAATTAATGTACATACAGGGTGTTTCAAAAAGATATGTCATAAATTGCATTGAAATCACGCATTTTGGGGACAACAATAAATTGATTGAATCCTAAGTACAAAAGTGTACACAAAAAAAGATACAACCCTTTAAACTGCTTGACATTTTGTAATAAAAATTGATACGTTACTTTCTTCTGAAAGCATTTTTTATAAAAAAGAAACAACAAAATCTAAACGAATAGAAAAACTTTAAGGGGGACATGCAGCATTAAATCCCCCAAACTTTTGAGTACGTTCAAATCAACTGAATGTTGTGGTATCATTAGTTTAACACATTATTTTTAAAACTTTTTTGCCTGTTATCACTTTTTTCAAAAAACAGTTTTTATTGAGTTACAGCCCTTTTCATTAACCTTTAAAAAATTACGTGCAACTAAATGAATAGCTTGAATGAAATAACAAGTACAAAAAATGTCTATAACCTCTATAAATATGATATTACAATAAATGTTTAAAATGACCCCCATTTTCTTCAATACACATTCGGTATCGTTTTAATAAGGAAAACCGAATGCGCTGAAAAATCATATTGTTCTGACGAAATTGATTTGTAGCTTCAATTATTATAACCCTTAATTGTTGTTTGTCCTCTATTGTTACAGAATACACTTTCTCTTTTATAAACCCCCCAAAAGCAAAAGTCCATGGGGTTAAGACCTGGACTTCTGGGTGGCCAAGAAATAGGTGCATCACGACCCCTCTCAATCCACCGACCAGGATACTGCCTACAAAGGTATTCCCGGACTTCATTACTGCAATGCGGTAGAGCGCCATCTTGTAGAAACTTGAGATGGGAAAAACCTGCCAGTTTTAACCGAAAACCGGTTTTTTTACTTCGCAATAACCAGTTTTATCGGTTGTTTTTTGTCCCGGTTATAAGCGGTTTTTATTTTTAAAGTAAAAACCGGTTATTAGGATTTTACGGTGATTAGGATTGGGTTAGGTATTATTTTGGATCCCAATCATAATTATTATTCTCAAGTAATTATTCCAAACAAAACCATAATTCAAATTTTATTTTATTTCATAAATACAGAAGCAATCTGAAAGCGCAGACTCACATCAAACATAAACAATTAAGTTTTATTATAATATTTGAAAAGGTTGACGATGAAAAGGTATTTGCAATCCTAATATTTTCAGATCCCTTAATTAAAAAAGGACCAAGGATGATTTCTGGTTCAGATATAAAACTAATCACTGAAATTGTCGCCATTTTATAGCCTTTCGATGAGGCCACAAAGATCTGGGGTTCCCAGTACAATACTGCTAGTCTTGTTATCCCCCTTGTGTCTATTATCGAAAGATCTTTAAAAATCTCAAGCCAAACTTTAGTACAGCCCAAAAGTTATGCTAAAAGCTTATAACTAGCCTTCGAGAGAGAGGAACTAAGCTTTTACGAAACCCCCTGCTTTGCCATGCTACAATCACGAACCCGAGGTTCAAAAAACTATATCTGAATCTGTTTATAGCGGAGACAGTCACATCCAATTTAGGCTCGGAAGTTAGGACGTACCGAAATCGGAAAACATTCTCCTTCTTGCTCCTTCCAGAATGAAGAAGACAAAGTGAGTTTAAAATCAAACCCCCTTTGGTCTTCACACGATCTGGAGTTGGTGAACAGTGGTTCCAGTTCAAGTTCTTAGGACACACGGATTCAAAGTTTTTTCCAAATGAACTGACTCTATATCTGCAGCAGCCTTTGATATTTTTAAGCTAACTTTTTGTCATTTCTCAACAGGCTTACTTCCTTCGCTAAATGAGTTTAATAGTTGAGCAAGCTCTTCCCAAAGTTTTCTTCAAATTATTCTTTCAGTGGGGCCAGAGAACTGTCCTTTTGCAAATTCTTTATGCTGCTCCATAAACTCTAAAAGGACGTTCCAATGACCCTCTGTTAATTTAAGAGACATGATAATGGTGGTAAGTACAAGTACAGAAGATAAACGTTCGTAATCACTTCCTTCAGAAAAACATGGCGGATACGATTCGTATCGAGTGTTCGTAATCCCGCCTCAGAAATAATCGTCTATCGGAGTATTTCGATTGGGGTATTTCACTGCATAACGCCTTGCGGCTGCTGCACTATTTCCTTGACATTCACCTACGATATTCCCGATAGATTATTGAATTCATAATTTAATCTGATCCAACTTACCCAAAGTTAAATGCATATCTGCCATTTCCTGAAATGTGTAGGCCATTATAATATCAAAATTTTTAATATTAATCTTATTCACACAATAAATGATAGCTTCAAATTATTAACTATTATTTACGGAACTGTTTGTAATTATTGTATCCGCAGAAACTAATTATAATTTTATGGCCAACTAGAAAAAACTAGTTTTTCGAAAAAGTGATAGGAGACAAAAAAGTTTTAAACATAATGTGTTAAACTAATGATGCCACAAAATTCATTTGATTTGAACGTATTCAAAGTTTGGGGAAATTTAGGGCTGCACACCCCCCTTAAAATTTTTCTGTGCGCTTAAATTTTGTTGTTTCTTTTGTATGAAAAATGCTTTCAGAACAAGAAAGTAACGTGTCCATTTTTATTACAAAATGTCAAGTAGGTTAGGAGATAATAATGCAAAAATACAATTTTTATTTTGTAACTTCAAAGGGCTGTAACTTTTTTTGTTTACACTTTTGTACTAAGGTAAGTTGGTAAGTAATTTATGACATACCTTTTTGAAACACTCTGTAAATTAGGTGTAAACGAAATATGGTTTCAAATTACCAAATTTACCATTATATTGAAGAAACCCAATTTGGATTGCTCACATTTGTTCACATCCAAGCAAGATGCTTGGATGTGAACCCAAGATATGTACGTCTGTTTCATAAATTACAACAAGGCTTTCGATAAAGTCCACCACAAAGAGCTAATGAACGTCCTTAAAGCAAAACAAACATTCATGTTATAAACAGCATGCACACATACGCATCAAGGAACACACATCAGAAGAGTTCGAAATTGAAACAGGAGTGCGACAGGGGTGTGTATTGTCGTCACTACTATGCAATTCATACTCTGAAGAAAGAAAAAAAAAAAGAAACAGCAGAAATAAAGGTCAATGCAACACCAATTAGCATCATTAGATATGAAGAGGAAGATTGAGACGGGTATGAAGACAAAGTAAAGGAGGTTTTAAAATCTATTGAAGTTAGAGCGTGGAGGAGAGTTTCAGTTTACTTTATTTACATACATTATATTAATTTTGGAAGCCCTTGGTTTATTCTAAACATTTTTCAGAGCTCATTTATTACAAAAAAGTTAATCGCGTCTATTTCTGTAACGACAGGACATGTTATAGACCCTTTTATAAACCTAAATAGGCAGTTTTTTTTAAGATTAGCAGTTATTTAAAAAACGTTACTTACAGGGAAAGATGTCTGTACGCTTCTTGTAGCTTTGCTTCACTGTAGTCCGATTCGCTAGAGGCGTTGGATTCCAAAATAGGTTTGGTTTCTTCGGGTGGTTCTGTTTCCACTTTGAGAACCATTTTGTAATATATAGAAACTGCAACAAAGAGTGCGTTTATAATGGCATGTCGCTTGATATCTTAGAGTATATTTAAGATTATTAACAGATATTGGTTGATTAGAATTTTGGTAAACAATGTGATTTTATCTAGTAGAAAAATACGGTAAATAAAATATAGATTTTATGATGTAATTTTGCGTTATTTGGTGTAGTTGTGTTAGTCAATATTACCTAACAATTGGATTATTAATTTTAAAATCTTGTGTAACTTTTTGAAACCTTTATAGACAAAAGATTTTTATATTTCTAAAAAAGCTCAAAAAATATCAAGGAATAAATAATATAAATAAAGCAAAATCTTCAGTTTTTAATGTCCGTAATCCCATGAACTGAAAACACATGATCCGCCTCCGTTGCGATTGTTATAACACTATAAATATAGCAGTGTAAACTTGGACCTCTATATGAAGAAGCATGAAATCAAATTACTTCTGATCGATGGCGATTTCAGTCTGAGTTTCACAAGTTCTTCCTGATAAATCATGAAATATCATTTTTGTAGACACGACTAATTCAACTAACTTTATTTAGAAAATATTAATATATTAATTTATGATATTTGTTAAATATATAATATATCTTGAGATTGAAAAATTCACACTGCACGGATTTTTATTTTTTAAACAAAAAAAAAACGGGAGATGTTATACTTCTATACACGCGTTTGCCGTTACAAGTTTATATGGGAGTCAATCTGCACAATCATTACATATTTAAGGCTATAGGTAAGAGAGAGCAGAAAGAGAAAAAGAAATAGGTATATAGGTATATGGTGCATCGTTTGCTGTATATAAACATTTGACCTGTAATAGGAGTATAGTAAATGAAGGATTGTATCAATATTTTATTGAAAATATATATTTTTATTTTCATATATGTATAAAAGGAGTTGAATGCAAAAAAAAATTTACACATACTCTGCAGTAAAATTCATTGTTTATTTTGTTATTAATATAAAAATTACAATCCATTACACTGCAACATAATTCAATATAATAATACAATACATTTTTCATAATTCATTCATGTGAATAATACATTCACATAATTCAATATTATAATACAATAATACAATACAAATTAAAATGCAATATTCATAAGTATTGAAAACTGCCAATATACATAACTTACTTTACGAAGATAAAATTAAAAAACGAACAACTCAAATTATGTTGTAAATTTTCATTTTATTTTAAAATTTAGCATTGTTGCGTATTATATTTAATAATATTAACGTGAGGTTTAAAATATTTCAAAAATAAAAAAAGGAAATTCATATTGGGATTCGAACTCACGTACACCAGCGTATGAACCAAACAACTAAAAGATTTGCCAATTAGACATGACACTAACGGATTTCAAAATTGACAGTTGTCTGTCATATACTGATTATTTTAAAATACAAAAGCCTAAAATAATTATGAACATTAAATAAAGAATACAAAACATATCACATAAATAATAATATTAATATATATTATATTATATATATATATATATATATATATATATATATATATATAATAAATATAATATTAAAATATATATACAAAATGAACATTTTTATTCTCGAGAGAGGAAGAGAGAGAAAATATATCTTCTGTCTCTCTCTTACTCATCTTACATATGTAATAGTTTCAAAGATTCACTCCAATACAAATTTCCAACGTCGAGCGCGCGTATAGAAGTATAACTTCAAAAATTATTGTGGAAACAATAAATATAATTATTGACAAATTAATTATGATCATCATCATCCAGCCCCATTTTCACATCCATTGTTGGATGTCGTCGGTCCATCGGGTGGGTGGTCTGCCTCGACTTCGCTTGTCGACTCTTGGTCTCCACTCCAATAATCTCTTTGTCCATCTTCCGTCCTCCATTCTAGCAACATGTCCAGCCCACCTTCAGTTCTGTTTATTGATTCGCAGTATAATATCGTCTACGCCAGTTCGCCGGCGTATCTCCTCATTTCTCAAGCGATCTTTCAAGTTCAGGCCCAGCATTGATCTCTCAATTCGCTTTTGTGTTACCTCCAATTTTTTGGCAATAGTTTTCGTTACAGTTAGGGTCTCTGCTACGTAGGTCAAGACTGGTAAGATGCATTGGTTACATGTCTTCCTTTTCAAGTGAGTTGGGATATTTGTTTTAAAAATGTCTCTCATCCTTCCATATGTTGCCTCTGGTTATTCTAATTTCATGACCCAAGTATGTGTATTTATCGATTAATTCTACCTTGTTGTTATTGATCTGTATCTCTTCGCTGGGAACCATATTGGTCATCATTTTGGTTTTCTCGAAATTTATCTTCAGTCCAGTTTCTTGTAGTATGTCATTTAGTTCTTGGAGCATGTCTTTGATCTTTCCCAGATTATCTGACAGATTCTGTCAAATTAATTATACTTTATAATAATTGGCGTACTGAAAAGATTTTTCTAGATGTATTAAAAAAATCAAATCAAAACCAAATCAAAACCTTCAACAAATGAAAACTTCCCAAGAATTTTATGGATAAATCTATTCCAACTTCGTTAAAAAAAAATTTGATTTTATCCTACACCTAAGAAAAATGTTGCTAAGCTTAAAGTGATAAAGGATAAGGTACCTGCCGTAGCAACTTCATCTTAGGGGCGACAATATTACAAGAAAAATGAAGAGAAGAAAAAACAAGAAGAGCAGCTAAAAATGTAGCGGAAAGAAAAGCGCATCCAAAAGAAAGAATTGGAACAAAAAGTTGCTCTTTCACAAACTTTAAATAAAACAATTTCTAATCACAGGACAAAGACTAAATTGAAGAATGTCACGAAGGATCTATTTTCCACACAAGAAATGCAAGAAAATAAAAGCATGTTAATTAGCAAACCTTCAACATCGAAACCTTTACAGGAATCTTAGTATTGTTCATTGTGTGACACTGACGATTAGCTGGACATGCGCCTTTGTGGTTCTTGCTTGAAATACTATCATGAGGCTTGTCTTGGTCTAATTGAAGATGATAGAAAAGAACTGAAATGCTCCTTGTGTCAGTGACTACTAAAATAATGTTTGTTTATTAATTCAGTTTTCATAGATACATTTAAGATTTTATATTTATCTTTTGAAAAATACGTTATTTTATTTGAATTATCAATTTAGTGTATTTACATACCTACAATAATTTATTTACTTCAATAGTACGTATCTAACTAAATATTTAGGTACCCTATATAATTATTCAAATATTGGGTATTTAACTCACGCCGCAAAAAGGATCTTTGATGTGCCGAAAATTAGAGCATGCATTTAATTTACAAAGCCGATAATTTATTTTAGAATAAAAAAAATATTTTATGTGTAATTGTGATAGATTTTATTAGCCCAAACCATAATCTAAATACATGTTGTTCAGGTAATTTGGTTACTAAACTAATTAAAATGAAGCTCCATTGTGCTTAACGTGCTAAAGGTGTCGATAATAGGTTACCTTACCTTAAATGACACAATCCGAAAATTAAAATAAACACAAAATCAACGTAAAATAAAAAAAATAATCAAAGTAAATATAATAACCCTTCAAATGGGCATAAGAATAAAATAAATACATACCTAGTTTACACATGGTTACAACTTAATCTTTGGCGACAATAAACACAGCGTGTATTAGACTAATATTTATCAAACCACTAGAAATTAGCGATATTTTTACTCTGCCAATACGATCAAATAATATTTTCAAATATTTGTTTTTCATTAAGAAGATAAGATACTGTGCGCTATTGAGTATTTTGGTAATGAAACTGAGATGTATAATATCGTGCGTTGGTTGTATCAAGTTAAATAAATATTGCTTAATGTACCTCTTATTCCACAAAAAGTGATTCAAAGAAAGAATAGATAAATGTTTGGATTACACTTATACTCATTTATCTATTAGTACGGATTTGTGGATGAATAATCAACAAACAAGTACATTGAGACATCTCATAGGAATAATAGACACGTTTTTACCGGCGTTTTTGTCTCCAAGATTCGCTGCCCCGGTGGTGGAACAATGAAGCAACTACAAAACTGTAACTTTTCAGGAGAGCCAAAAATATAAAATTAATTTACTTACTACCTTATGCAATGAAGCATAATGAAGATACTGGATTAGTATTGCAGTTATACTTAGCCACCGTGATACACTGTAACTCTACTACACATTCAAAATAAATTCTTAATTTTTCATCTCTAAATTTGATCCCCAATTTCAATTTAGAAAAGTTAAGAATTTAGAATTTAGTTTTAGAATGAAAAATTTAGAATTTAGTTTTATAGATAATATTTTTTTATTCCATAATACTCCGTGTAGCTGTCTGGTGGCTGATCTTGCTTGGCCAATCCTCGAATGTATTTCTTCGCTACTTCCTACTTGTGATGTTATTTGGACTCCCAAGTAATTAAAATTGTCTGTTGGTTTTATACTTCCCAATTAGATTAATAGGCTTTCTGGTTTTTCTCCTACAACTAAGTGCTCAGTTTTTTGTATATTAATTGTGAGGCCCCATTTGGTGTACTCATCTTTCAGTTTTCTTAGCTTTTAGCTTATATCACTCTCGTCTTCAGCTAGAATGGCTTGGTCGTCAGCGAAGTATATCGTGTACAATCTATCATCTCCGATTGGGATGCCCATATTGCAGCACTTTCTTCTCCACAGTGAGAGTGCCTCATTTAGATATATTTTGAAGAGTGTAGGTGCTCTGCAGCAGCCTTGCTTTAGGCCCTTACTAATAGAAATTTCTCTAGTTAATCTATTTCCAGTTTTAATGCTTGCCGTCATATTTTTGTAGAGCTGTTGTACTGCTTGTATATTTTTTTGCTTATTCCTTGTTTTTCCATTTCTACCCAAAGCATTGAAAGTGGTACACTATCGTATGCCTTTGTCAGATCTATAAAGACTATATAAGTTAAAAGGTTGTGGGATATATATATATATATATA